TAACTGTTTTACTCTGTGTATCTGTCCACAGTGTTTGAAAACCTGGGACAGTGTATTTGGAGTAGAAGGGACAGAGATGCTCAGTCATTGTGGTGATGGATGGGTTTATGTCAAATGAAAGAAGCTGCTCATAACTTTCTGGGAAGATGGACAGAGAAAGATTGGTCTGAAATTACAGCCCGAGCTAAAAGGAACACTTGGTACCCAAGTGCATCATTACTTCTGTTGTGGTATTTCAGTTGTGTTAAGAGCCACACAAACATAAACCAAAAAGATCATCCTTTTCTCTGTTCCTGCTTTCCTTTCCAATTAAACGCTTGTATCTGAATGCTTCCTGTAGCAGCAAGTAGGGCATAGGGTGGAAGATAGCTTCATTCTCTGCAGTAAAAGGAGCTTAGAATCTTGACTAATGAAATCCATAGTTAGTTAAGGGACAATAATGTTCATTTTCTCATTCACAACTCGGTCCCTTTCCATTAAAACTGCAACCTTAAACTGTATGGTCTATTTTAGGCGATAATCTGTAATTAATGACTGGATAATGGCAGTTTTGTTGGTGGAGGTTAGCATGGTGTGTTTGAGGATACAATTCAAAGTCAAACAATTTCCCTTTTACAATTAATTCAGTGTCACATTGGTGCAAAAATATGCCGGTGTTATCAGCCAGTCCAGCATTCCTCATCAATTAAAGGATTGCTCATACAGCTTTTGCAGCACATCATAAAGCCTTTGTTCCCAGCTGATCAAAGCACCACTTCACAGTGATCAGATGCTGTCAACAAGCAGAGATCCTCGGGGCACTTGTGGCTGTTCCTTCTTGCTTCTCTTCAGCAGGGAGCATTTGTGGCTCCAATTGTGTCGGCAAGAGGCACAGCTGGTTTTGCTCAGAGAATACAATTACATTCTAAATGTCTGGCAACAAAGGCATTAAAAAGAAAGAGCTGCATTCAGAGGCTTCTGGAATTGAGGAGCTGATAGCTAGCCTACCACTCCACACACTCCCGTGCCAGACAAGCTGCAAATTTAACACCTCGGGATGCTTCTGATGAGCTTCCATCTCTCACACCTATTTCTGACCTCCAGCCCGGCGCCGCTGACGGGGGCTGCGGCGGCCCGGTGAGGCTTCTCGGTGCCTTGGGGAGCTGTCGCTGCGCGCCCCTGCGCAGGTGCGGGACGGGCCGAGGTGTCGGTCCTGTGTCTGTCGGTCCGGCAGGGCCCGAGGCTCTCCCGCAGAGCCTGCCTTGGGGGCACCCTGCTGCGTAATCAGTACAGATGGGCGTACGCCTTAAGGCTAGAGGCATGAAAACCAAATCGGGGGCAACCGGGCGATTGCTTATGGCTGTTCTCCCGCTTCTCCTGTACTTTAGTAACTTCCAGCAAAGATGTCGGAGTATATCCGGGTGACGGAGGACGAGAACGATGAGCCCATCGAGATCCCCTCGGAGGACGACGGCACCGTGCTGCTCTCCACCGTCACCGCCCAGTTCCCCGGGGCCTGCGGGCTGCGCTACAGGAACCCGGTGTCGCAGTGCATGAGGGGCGTGCGGCTGGTGGAAGGCATCCTGCACGCGCCAGAAGCCGGATGGGGAAACCTGGTCTATGTTGTTAATTATCCCAAAGGTTTGTCTTCCTTCCTGTTTTTTTCTTTTTTTTTTTGTACAAGCTTGCTTTTTCAGTCAGGAGGTCCGTGTGAGTCACTGCTAGTTTAACAATGTAACTGTGTCACTGTTGAACCCTCTGCCTTACAGAAGTTCGGGATTTCATTCCTGTATCTGTCCTGCAGAGTAGATTTGACCCCACTGAGTTTTTCAGATGTGCATTAAGATTTTTAACTCTCTGCCCATACGAGCACTTTAATGACAAAATCTTGTGTTATCCTTGGGGTGCTGACAGCCTTTTATATAGACCTTTGAAGTCTGTGATGTAGTGGGATCTGCGTCTACTCAGAGATGCTTCTTCTCAAGCTCATGGTTTGGTCAGATGCCATTTTAAAATGCTCAGGAAAAAAGGAGCCTGACCACCCTGCCCCTCAAAACAAGAAGGGAAGGAAGTAAATTGCTAATGAAATATTATTGTTTTAAATGCCTGTCTTCTCCACATTCATATAGGCTTGTCAATGTTACTGGATAATACTAAACTAACAGAGAACTAACTCAGATTGCATTTTGGACGAGTACTTAAGCATAGACCTTTCTTCGCTCCTTGTACTCGTAGGCAGTTGGATATGTATTATAATAATAAGCTCCCAGCAGCTGGCATGTGTCTTTTGTGGTCTGTACCTTTTCTCATCATAGTCTATGATTTTATACCATGTGGTTCATAATCAGTGGAAACGATTTCCAGAGTTGACGACGTCTAATGTACTTCTTTATATTCAGATAATAAGAGAAAAATGGATGAAACAGATGCATCGTCAGCGGTAAAAGTGAAACGAGCAGTACAGAAGACTTCGGATTTAATAGTCTTGGGTCTTCCCTGGAAAACCACTGAACAAGACTTAAAGGAATATTTCAGTACATTTGGAGAAGTTCTGATGGTGCAGGTAAAATCCTTTTGCAGCTGAAGGGATGGACATTAGGTAGAAATCAATCTTCTGAGGAAGCCAGCAGAAACAGAGCTGTAAAACTTGGAGACGAGTTTGAGTGCGTCTCTTCCTAGGTTGCATTTTGTGGCATGAGCTTTGTAGCTGCAGGTGGCCAGGGATATTTGGGAGTGGTAATTCATGCAGATCAGCTTAATGGGTACAGTGTTTTTAAGAGCTTTTTAATTGATATTAATGTTATTGGTTGGCGTAGCTGAATATGTGTGTAAGAAACTGGAGATGGCTGTGATGGGAGCATTTACAAGACTGATACGCTCTCAAACAGAACTTCACTCAATTCATTCCCGAGCAGCATGCTTCACGCTAGTGGCTACTCCGGATGCACAGGGCCACCGTGGCCAGGAGGGAGGGCATCAGCAGACAAACCTGCTTCTGTTTTCTTCTGCTGTCACACGTTGATGTTTTTGCCTCCTGGAAGGGGGATCTCACCTGAACTTGTCTTGTTCTTTATCTTTTGTCACTTGCGTGTCTCCTGTGTGCAGCTACGTGTTTGCCCCTTGGGTGGTCACACTGCTTATACAGCTGGGCTGGCTATGCCATCACAATATTACAAAAAATCCCATTTTGGTTATGCTTGGGCCCAAGGCAAGCAAATAACTTTAATTTGTAGGTGTCACAGGCCCCTGCTTTGATTGTATAATACTACAGTAATTTTTGTGAGAAAAGGTAGGCATATACAGTGAGATAATAAAAACTTTACAAGTCTGCTTTTTTGTGTGTCTTAGGTTAAGAAGGATATTAAAACTGGCCACTCAAAAGGGTTTGGTTTTGTTCGGTTTACGGATTATGAAACCCAGGTGAAAGTCATGTCTCAGCGGCACATGATCGATGGAAGATGGTGTGACTGTAAACTTCCCAATTCTAAGGTACTTTTGTATTTATTGCTAGTTTTATTTTTACCAAACACTCGAAGTGAGCCTCTTTAGCAACTGCGTTAGGTGAAGAGATTAAAAATCCACCCTTGGATGTGGCTTTTCAGTCTGTGAATGGAGAAGTGAGAGCAGGGAAGGAAAACGGTGAGGAGGTGGGTGAGCCGGAAGGGAACAAGAAGTGTTGGGGAAAGAGCTGGTAGGGTGGTGGAATTAAGTATGGATGGGAATCTGAAAAGAATGTGTTTTCAAGTCCAGCACTACCTGCTTGACCTGTCTGCTGCATGAATAAATGGGAGAATAAAGCAGACAGAATAACTAACCTAGTGAAGATCAAAATGAGTCTTTGAATTCAAAACTAAACATAAAACTTCTGTTTATTTCTCATGTGTATATATGCAGTTATTACCCCAAAAGTGTCCTGGCAGTGGCCTTGTCATTCCTCCTGTGTATTGCCCCTAACTTTGTTTTCTTGTGACTCTTCTCCATCTGTACCAAGGTGCAGGCATGTTCTTTGAACAGAACTTTAAGTCTTTAACTTAGTCTCAGACTTTTTTGATATTCAGTCCTCAGAACAGGCTAGATTAGAAGGGTCTTTTATCATAAAGTAACTCAGTTCTCATTTTTTCTTTCTTTTTCTCCACAATTCTCTGCAGCAAAGTCCTGATGAACCTTTGCGTAGCAGAAAGGTGTTTGTCGGGCGCTGCACTGAGGACATGACGGCAGATGAGCTCCGGCAGTTCTTTGCCCAATACGGAGAAGTAGTAGATGTCTTCATTCCTAAACCGTTCCGAGCTTTTGCTTTTGTCACATTTGCAGATGATCAGGTACGTCTTAAAGTATTTTAACTTCCTATTTAGACAGCCTACATTTCAGTAGCTTGATAAAGCATTATTTCTGGAACTGCATGTGGAACACTTGTCCACTGTCTTGAGAATTCCAGTGGCATTAGTTTGATTCGGTTCTTTGAACTAAGGTTATGCTTCTCAGATGTTACTGTACAGACTGGTTTTTGTACTGCAGTGAATGCGAAGATAAAACACTTCAAATTGGATTAAGTATATGCATATGCTTCCTTTGCAGGTTAAATATCTGCTCAGAATCATGTGGGATTTTTTTTTTATCTTGTACTACTAACATTTAAAAAAAAAGAGGTGTGACATACATTTAATCCATCCCTTATTTCTTATAGGTTGCCCAATCTCTTTGTGGAGAGGACTTGATCATTAAAGGAATCAGCGTACATATATCCAATGCTGAACCTAAGCACAATAGCAATAGACAGTTAGAGCGAGGTGGAAGATTTGGTGGTAATCCAGGAGGCTTTGGGAATCAAGGGGGCTTTGGCAACAGCAGAGGAGGTGGGGGGGGTCTGGGTAACAACCAGGGCAGTAATATGGGTGGAGGGATGAACTTTGGAGCCTTTAGCATCAACCCTGCCATGATGGCGGCGGCGCAGGCAGCCCTGCAGAGCAGCTG